AGTTTTAATGTCTTTGTTCTTTCTTCCTCCTCCATGATTCAAAGGGAATTATTTCTGCTTAGGGACAAAAGTCTGTAGCAAAAAGCTAGAATTAGCAAAATAGCTAATTGCTATTGAAGGATTTTTGCTGAAAACCGGCCTCCCTCCCTCCTTTTTTGGGGGGTTTCTTTTTGGGTTTTTTTTGGGGGGGTTTTTTTGGGGTTTTTTTTGGTTAAAGTAGTTTTTGCTGAGGCATAGCAAAATTCTTGCCCAGTGCCATCCATAACCAGGATGTGATTCCAGCTGTTTTTCCTAATTTGTATAAAATCTCTGAAACTCCTGTCTGAAGGAGGGAGCTGTACAACTGTAATCCAGGTCCCAAAGATGTGCAGGAGCAAGAAATCGTGTCTGCCATGGTTGCTGATGCCTGGTATGAGGACCCCCTACCAAAGAAACATGTCTTTGAAGGAGAAGTTTCACTCCAATGTGGGCTCTTCCCCCATTCCAACTCCACCTGGTTCCTTGGAAGGGGAAAAAACCCATAAGAAACTTTGTTTATTAAGTTTTGCATCTTAATTACAGGGTTGTTTTTCTTGCCAGTCCTTGTTACCAAACCTTTGTCCATGCCCATTCTGAGAGTTAGAAAGAGGTGACCATTTTTCCTAGCACCATTTTTTTTTCCTCCAAAAATGCTTTTTTCACCCTAGAATGGCAAGCTGAAATTGTTCTAAATATCCAGTTGGCTGGAATGTTTCATTGCTTCCCATTCACTTTTCTTTTTTGCTAAAATCTGGTCTCGGGGTTCCTGGGACCAGACCTGTTTCTCTTCTGGTTTTGTATTTGAGTGTTTGGTGGCACAGGAGGTGGAACATGGTCTGTTCAAGGTATTTTGAGTGGTGTGGGGAAGCACACTGGGCACATCAACCATGGCATGACTTTTATTGATAATCTAGATAGGAAGGAAAAAAAATCAATAAATATTAAAGGCATAAACCCCAATAAGTTTAACATTAACACATAGTGTGGGGGCACGAGGTCTTTGTTCATAGCTGCTGAGCTGGAACCCTCATGGCAGCTCTGCACTGAATCCTTCTCTCAGTCATCCAGCTGGAGAGCCCAAATTGCCTCTGCTGCTCCTGGCAGGGGTTGCTGGATGTCACATCTGTTCTGATGTGGCCATGAAGGAGGAGGTGTCCTGGCCATGGTGTTGCTGCCTGGGTCAGTGCAAACGAGATCTGAGCATCTCCTGGGAGCTCTGGTGGATGGGAATGAATCCCTCCCTTCCAGCCTGGGTTTTGGTGCAGGTGGCTGGCTCTTGTGACACTTGGTGGTGTTTGGGAGGCAGCAGCAAGCTGCTTACACTTTGTGTGTGCCTCTGAGCTGCCTGATGCAATGGTATCAATCTCCTCCTAGGGTTTCATTGAGAATCCGTGACTGGTTCCTGTATTTTAATCACTCCACTCCCTTTCCTTTGCCTGACACACTATCACTTCTCCATCCTCATGCTGCTTTTTGACCATTCCAGGATGTCCCTACCAGCACCTGCAGAGGCTTTGGGGGCTGTTGCTTCCAGGGCATGCAGCTGCTGGAGGCAGAGGCATCCTGAGCCTGGGGTCAGGGATCACAGGGCTCCTGTGTGTGCTCCAGGGCTCCTGGGCCAGCTGGTCAGGGCACCAGAAAGGGGGGATCTGCTGGAAGGGAGAGGGATTCATGGGGCTTTGTGAGATTAGCCATGGTGGGAAAGGAAGGGAAGGTGAGAAGCGTGAGTGCAGAAGGGGTGAGCTACCAAATGAGAGAGGGCAAAGGCACAGGGAGACAAAAAGGGCCTTTTGAGGGGTGAGGAAGGTTGGGCCAGGTGGGCTCAGGTCTGGGGCAGCCATTAGGCAGGCAGGGGATTGGCAGGAGGTTTGGCAAGAGCTCTGCCCGAGCCCTGTCCTCCATCTCACCCCCATGCAGTGCTGGTTTCCCTGCAGCCAGAAGCAGCCCAGGTGCTGGAGCCCATCAGTAACTGGTTCCTTTCTCTCCATTTGCAGAAGCAGAGGAGCTCTACCAGAAGAGGGTTTTAACCATCACGGGAATCTGTGTGGCCTTGCTTGTGGTGGGCATCGTCTGTGTGGTAGCTTACTGTAAAACCAAGTGAGTATGGGGGGCTCACAGGCAAGAACTGCCTACAGGTTAGTGAGTGCCAGTGTTCATGTTCCACACGTCCATGCTCTTCACCCAGATGCTAATTTTAGGAGATGATGTGCTGTGGTTCTCCCAGGAAGCTCTCATGCAGGAGGCCAGGGTCTCTGTCTACCAACTGTGTTGGAATGGGAGGTTTTCCTGACACCATTTGCTTGTCCCCTGGAACATAATTTGCCCAGGCAGGCAACATTTTGCTGTGTTACAGGGAAAAGCTGGCCCCCAAGCCAGCAGCTCAGCTTCTGCCAGCAGAAGCACACTGGGCTGTTGTGCAGGAGCTTTGGGCTCAACTATGCCCATTACAGGGATTCCAGAGTGATCCTAATGGAACAGGAGACCTGGGAACCTCTGTTATGGTCAGCCTTCCCTGCCTGGACAGCACTTTTCTCCCTGCTCAGCCTGCACCTCAGTTCAGAGTGCCCCTGCAGTCAGTGGGTCTTGTGGAGCAGATGTCTCACCCTGGGCAGGCTTTGCCACTTTGTCCCTCATGCAGGACAGGTCAAGTGCTTTGTCACCAAGGCTGAGTCAGAACTTGCTTCCCCTTCTCCTTCTCCCCACTTTTCTGCACTGCCAGCTGGCTCTGCTGCATTGTGCTGGGCCTTGCCTTGGAAAGGGAACCCTGGACCCAGCTTCCCAAACTGTCCATGAGAAGGAAAGTTGACCTTTTGTCTGGAAAAGCAGTAGGAGGTGTTAACTGTTGAATGCCTTGTTTCGTATTGTTTGTAACTTTCTGCAAATACCACTGGAATATTCCCATGTTGAAGACTTGCCTTCTCTTTCATCTCTGGGGGCACAGAGCCCCGTGATGGAAGGGTTCCTAATAGATTTTTTTCTGTTCTAAAGGAAACAAAGAAAACAAATGCATAACCACTTGCGGCAGAACATGTGTCCTGCGCATCAAAACCGGAGCCTTGCCAACGGGCCAAGCCATCCACGTTTGGATCCTGAGGAAATCCAAATGGCTGATGTAAGAGCCTCTGCCTCCATCTCCCTGCATGCTCCTGAGGGGATGTTTTCTGCCAGGGGTTTGACGTGGATGTGTATCCTTACACACCTGTGTGCTTGTGTGTGAGGAGCAAAGCCCAAACAAACTTGAGCAAAAGGAAAGATTCTGCATAGAAACATTTCCAAAAGCAACATCTGAAGGGGAATTTGATTTTGCTTTGAAGTGCATGATGAGATTCAGGCATTTAGGATAGGCTTGTTTTGATTAATCAAGTGTGACCCTGATTCCCACCAGGAGAGATGTTCCCAATGTTTCCTGTTTATTACTCTCTCCTGTCAAGACCCACTTGCTGGGATGACAAATGGGATCAGCACGGCAGTGACCAGAGTCACCGTGGTGAAACACGTCATGGTGATGTGGTCAGCTGTCCATCAGCCCACCTGCCCATGCCAGGGGTTCTGTCCTGGTGGGGTGCCACTGTCACACCAAGGAGAACAGTCTAAGTTTCTCTAGGACAGGATCCAGAGGGAAGTTCAGCCACTTTCGTGACTTCTGTCGTGCAAGATTCCCTTTAAACGCCGTGAACTCAAGGGCCATCAATGGGCTGAAGTGCCTTGCTGGATCAAGGCCTTGAAAGGGGTCAGAAAAAGGGAAGGGGTGGGGCAGAGGTGAACAAGAAGTAGCTAGAAATAAATCCAGTTAATCAGCTCCAAACTCTGTTGGGTCAGCCTTAGGATAATAAAATTTAGCTAGGTTGGATCCCGACCATGAAGGAAGGGGAAAGGGAATTCTAAGAACTACAGCCCCTGGCCCCACAGTACTGACTCTCTCAGAGAACTTAGTGCCCTTGTGAGAAGCAGGGCTGGTTGTTAGATGAAGGAATATCTCAGCATGAATATTTGGATCACATCTGGAGTCTCTGTAGGACTCACATCTCTGACAGATTTCACGTTGTTCTCTTTTGGCTGGTACTCGTTCGGGTGTAACCAGCTGTGGGCAGAGATGTGTCTCTGTTCAGTAGCTGCACATGGCACCACTGTCCTCTGGGGAATCCCTTGGCTCTCCAAACCCTTCTGCAATCCCTGTGCCACAGCCCTTTCCCAGTGTTCAAAGGGAAGGGGCACAGAAAAGCCTCCACCCTCATTTTCCTTTCCTGTGGGATGCAAGCTTGTGGGTTCACTGAGTCCTCACCTGATTTCACCAGAAATAATCAGGCCATCTAAATTTTTCTTTGGTAGCATTCATAGACTGATGAATGGTGGCTGACCTGTGTGATTCTTGTTATTTTGCAGTATATTTCTAAGAATGTTTCTGCCACCGAGCACGTGATACGAAGGGAAACAGAGACAACCTTCTCGGGAAGTCACTCCTGCTCCCCGTCCCATCACTGCTCCACAGCCACTCCAACCTCCAGCCAGAGGTGATGTATTCCATTTTCTATGGACCTTCTCCTGCTATTTGCTGTAGGATGCTGTGAGATTCTAAGATTTTCCTTTCACCTCCATTTCTGTTTTCACTTCATGTTTGGCTCTGTAGTGGCATACGAGCCATGTCTACTCTGCAGGACTCTGCAGGCACAGCTGGTTAGTGAGAGGTGTGGAAAAGTGTGTTCCTTGACCTGCAGGAGGGTGCCAGTAGGATCCTGCAGCACTGGCATAGCTGGAAAACAGGAGGAAATGAGCCTGTGCTTCCATGCTTTGCACAGACCCAAACAGGAGGATATGTGTAGGAAAGGTTTTGCAGGTTGTGTCTGAAATACTTCATTAAGCACACACAGGGTTGTGTGTTTCATATTTAGAATGTATTTGCCTTGTGGGAGACAAACTACACAAAATATGACCAAATGTTTTGATTGCTTCCTCAGAGTCATGGTCTGACTTGGAAGTCACAGGCTTTGACCAGAAGGAAAATGCTCCTGTGCAATTTATCAGCCTCCACCTCAGGTGGTGGCTCCTCTTTCACTGGAAGTCATTCTGTAGCCTTTTGGAAAATTTGGTTTAGCAGGAAAGTACCAATAGTGCTTTGTGACAAAGGATGAGACATATTTTTTTGTTTTCATTTCAAAATAACCATTGGGGGAAGAACCCATGGCTTGGAACCCGAATCTTCTCAAGGTTTCTTAGAACATTTGAATTGCAGATGGACCTCTCTGTTTTTATGATGTCCAAAAAAGTCTTTCTTTCAAATGCTCTAAGGAAACTCCTGTGCTGCTTTGAGTTTGGATGTTCCAGTTCCTCCTCTTGGACAGCTCTTGTTCTTCTTCCAGTAGGTGACAGGGGATTTCCTTGGACACCTCTTACCTTTGATAAGTGATTGGTCATGTCCTTCATTAGCCTGGTAGGGTTGTCTGCATTCATCTAGGAATGCAGGAATGCTTTCAGCTGAAGCTCACAGATGGCTCCAGGCAGGTTTCCTTAGGGCCCAGGCATTCCTCAGGGTTGAGCAAGTACTCTCAGTTACAACAGGCAAGATCAATTCAGATGCTGAACTTGGATTTTCAGGTGAATTCCTCCCCAGATTCCTCTGGCTATACATCCAGCAAGTAGAGAGGGAGCCAGGGATGACTTGATGGGCTGGGAATTATTCTTTTTTTCCAGGGAAATCCACTCCTCATGAGCCAGACAATATGTTCTCCAGGTTTTTTTGCGTTCACACTCCTCAGCCCAGCCCTGGCTAGGTGTGTTCAAGCTTGAGCCAGGTGCACAGAGGCTCCTGTGCCTGCTGAGCTGCACCTTGCTGGCCTTCCATGCTCACTTGAAAGGCCTGGGCCATCCCTGGGCACCTCTGAAGACACAAAGGTGTGTCTGGAGGGCAGCATTAGCTCATGACAGCTGCAGGGAGGAACCTACCTTGGGTAGCCTCTGGTGCTGGCTACCTGCCACCTCATTTCCCTGAGTCAAGTGCAGCAAGCAGGTGCTTCTTGAAGTCATGCCAGAGGCAAACTACTGGCATAATCAGGCTCTATTTTACTCCATCGGTGCCTCTAATGAGGACGCTGTTTGAAGTTATAAATGAGCATGTGCCTGGAGCCATCAATAATTAACAAGTTCTTGGGAAATCTTAATGAGGGCTGCTCTCCTCTGTAAACCCCCACCCAAAATCCTCCACCCACGCAGCTCCATCTGCAGTTTGGGAGTTCAGGGAGGTTGCTCTCATGGATCATGTGTTTCTGCAGTGGTGGGGTCAGCGTGGTGGCAGTGGCATGGTGGGACCCCAGTGTGCAGGTGGCCCTGTGCATCCCCAGTGAGTCCTCGTGGGATGTTCTCTTTGCACCCAGGCTGGGGCTGGTGGGGCTGCAGCTGCTCAGCACATCGTGGTCTTTGTCTAGCACCTTGAAAGTGTTTTCCTGCCAAAATCCTTGGTAGACTTTGCTCATTTTGAGTGGCTTCTCCTGGCTCCTCTCTGGTAGCAATTCCAAAGGGGCTGTCACTTGGCAGTGCAGGTGGCACATTTGAAGGAACTTGGCTGACTTGCCTTGGCATAGCCAATGTGTTATTCCACACCCAGAACACTTTGCAAGCACAAAGCAGAATTGCCCTGGCCTCCCTCCAGAGGCTGTCCCATCCTGCTCCCAGGCATTTATTCCGTGGTGGGATAAATACCTGCTATTGTACTGGTTTACTTCCTTCATCCTCTAATGGCATCTCCAAGAAGGAGCAAAGAATGACAAATCAAAGGTAGGGTTGGGAATCTGGGCTTCCCTGGCCAGATGTGTCCTAATGAGAGAGAGACAGACAGAAGGGGGACTGTGGTGGTGTTCACAGGGGTCCCAGGAGGAGTGAAGAGACGAGGATCTGACTTTATGTTTTAGAAGGCTGATTTATTATTTTATTATATATATTATATTATTTATATATTATAATACATTTATATATTATAATATATATTATTAATATATTTATATATTTTATTATTATATTATTATATTATACATATTATATTAAAACTATACTAAAAGAATAAAAGAAAGGATTTCATCAGAGGACTTGAAAGGAAAGGGATAGAAAGGAATGATAAAAGCTTGTGTCTCTCAGAGAGTCTGAGCCAGCTGACTGTGATTGGCTATTAATTAGAAATAACCACATGAGACTAATCACAGATGCACCTGTTGCATTCTACTGCAGCAGATAATTATTTTTTACATTTTGTTCTTGAGGCTTCTCAGCTGAAAAAATCCTAAGGAAAGGATTTTTCATAGAACATGTCTGTGACAGGGGACAGCAGTGCAGAGGTGCAGAGCTGAGCCTGTGCCTGTGTCTTTGGGGAAGAGCTGGGTGGGGTTCTTTGCTCACTGTCCTCATGGGCTTTGCTCCACAGACATGAAAGCCACACCTGGAGCTTGGAGCGAACAGAGAGCCTGACTTCGGATTCCCAGTCTGGGATAATGCTGTCCTCGGTGGGAACCAGCAAATGCAACAGCCCGGCGTGCGTGGAGGCGCGGGCGCGGCGCGGGGCCACCTTCTGCCTGGAGGAGCAGCGGCGGCCCACGACGCAGTACCGCGACTCCGTGGACTCCCTGCGCGACTCGCCCCACAGCGAGAGGTCAGAGCCCGCTGCTTGTGCCACCACAGCCCAAAAATGTGTGCCTTTGCCAGCCCTAGAGTGGCGGTGCCACGGTAGAATTGGGGAACTCCAGCTCTGGTCCTACCTGAGGACACCCAATTCCCCCAGAAGGGCATTCAGGTCAGGCAGCAGCCAGCTCTGCACCCTGCAGGTTTGGAGCACAGGGATGATGGGTGTGGAATATGCCTGGCTGCAGTCAGCAACTGTAGAGAAGGCTGGGAGAACACCCTGGGCAGCTTGGTGGGCTGCCAAGCAGGGTCTGGCCCTGAGGTGCTTGAGGAAAAGGTGTCTATCCCCAGCACCATCCTGGATGGCCAGGTGAGAGGGTGCTGCATGTGGGCACAGCCTTGGGACAGGACTTGGTAGGTCCCAGCCTTCAAGGAACACAGCTGCAGAGCTGAGACACGAACAGCAGTAGCAGCTGTCCTCTTCCCAGTCTGGTTCCTCATGGAGCAGAAGCACATCTCCACCCTTGTTCCAGCCCTTTGCAGGTGGCTGTGAGTGACTCCTGGTGGCCACGTGGCCCCTTGTGGGCAGTTGCCCTCCAAGGCAGTGGAACTTATCCATGGGGCAGAGGAACTTATCCATGGGGCAGAGGAGAAAGGCAGCATCTCCTGCTCTCATTCCTGTCCCTGGTCCATTCAGGCAGACTGACCCAGCTCCTATGGAGATGTCATACATCACAAAACACATGAGTAAAAAGGCCTGGGTGAGTGAGAGAGCCTGGGCAGGTGGAATTGGGCAGAGATACCACTGGGAATATAAAGAGGAAATAAGATCTGCTCATTAGAAAGAGGTGGTGCTGAAGAAAGGGCTAGAGAGAGGCGCTAGACCAGACCTGAGTGACCTGATGTTTTTACTAGAGCAGATGAAAGTGGTAGATGGCTTTTTGAGACACAAGATTTTTGCTAAATCAGAGAAAGCAATGGCCCCATCTGAGCAATGGCCCAAAGCAAAGGGTTTCCCCATCTGTGGCCTGAGCAGGGAGAGGGAATTCCAGGGACCTTCCTCAGAGACAAGCCTGGCAACTCCAGAGGGAACAGAAAGCAGCTGTCAGGCAGATGAGAGGCAGTGAGTGAGGCCATGACTCAGTCTGCTGGGAGATGCTGCAGGATTTGCAGTGATGCAGAGTGGGAATTGTGCACTGAGTCCCTTGGGAGAAGCATTTTGGGGGCTGCTCAGCACATGCTGCCCATTGAAGCCAGCAGCTCACCCTCCCCTGGCTCAGCAGTGCAAGACCCCTGCAGCTGATTCCCCAGGAGATCTTCCACGAGCAGGTTCACTGGGGGTGTTGTATTGCACTAAATAGTTTATTTAGTTGTTGTTTTGCACTGAGTTATTAGAGTTTTGCACAGAGTAGTCTTTATATTGCACTGAGTAGTTTATGTTATATCACATGGTTTGTTATTCCCCTGTCCCATCACATGGTTTCTCCCTCACCCACCCTTGTCTCTTCCCTGGTCAGTTCTTCGCCCTGCCCCTCCCAACTTGCATCCCATTGGTTGTGGTCCTCCTCCTCCTCCTCCGCCCCCATTAACCAAGCTATAAAAATTTCCCGCCCTGAGTACAAGGCCTCTTGCCCACCTTGGAAATAAACCACGTAGGTTCCCAGGTGGGGAAGAGCACTTCCAGTCTTTTGTTTAGGTCTGTGTAAGACTGTGTGGGCTGGGGCCCCTAGCTAGCCACAGTGAGCCCCAACAGCCCACGCAGACGACACGGTTCTTACAGGTGGTGCCCCATGTGTTTTTCTCCCATGATGGTCAGAAATGGCACACAGCAGCTGGTAATTCACATGGGGATTATGTTAGCTTTTGGGACTCACACCTTTCTCTGACTTTGTCACATTCTGGTCTTACAGGAGGCCTCCTGGGTCCCCGGGCCGGGTGTTCAAAGCTGGCTCAGCAAAGGGTGGGCTCAGCTGGTGCTTTTTGGGTTGTTCAGTGTCCAAACAGAGGCGTTGCTTTTGCAGGTACGTGTCGGCCCTGACCACACCAGCACGCCTGTCGCCCGTTGACTTCCACTACTCGATGACCACGCAGGTGCCCACCTTCGAGATCACGTCCCCCAACTCGGCGCACGCCGTGTCCCTGCCGCCGGCGGCCCCCATCAGCTTCCGTGTGGAGGAGCAGCAGCCCCTCCTGCGGCGCTACCAGCTCCCCTTCCAGGACACGCAGAGGTACGACAGCTACTACCAAAGGAAGACCTACCTAAACGACAGCATGGGGAGCCTGCCCTCCAGCCCCTTCCGCATCACGGAGGACGACGAGTACGAGACGACGCAGGAGTACGTCACAGCGCTAGAGCAGCCAAAGAAAACAGCCAGCAGCAACAGGCGGTGGAAAAAATCCAAACTGAACGGGCACATCCCTCACAGAGCCAGAGCCGTCCGGGACTCCTTCTCCTTGAGCAGCGCCTCTTACAGCGAGTCTGACGAGGAGCTGGTGGCCGAGAGCACGCCGTTCCTAAGCACTCAGAACAATGAGGCGGCGCACGCGGAGTCGCCGCCGCTG